ATCATCATCATCATCATCATCATCATCATCATCATCATCATCATCATCATCATCATCATCATCATCTGTTTACAACAGTGAAATCAGAAACAGTGAAATATTATTCATATCAATACAATATCGGGAGAAAGTTGATAGGACTCTTTATACATCATGTATATAACCTGATAATGCGACAATCTTAAATCTGTGGCAATTGTTGGGGTTTAAGGCTGTGATCAAAATGTACCACAGTAGAAAATAATATACATTTCCCCATGACTTTTTCTTCTTCACCTTTTCGTACTTTTGCAAAAAAATATTTTGCCATAAGTGTTATAGGATTGGGAACATGTAAATAAAGCTTCAGAAGGCATTGGAATGTATTTGAAGTATACGCCATTCTTATTGTGCTCGTTACCGTTATAGTGGTTGTTCGTTGTTGATAGCCTGCGCGTGTCTGACATATCATTGTAATTATTGTCTTTTTCTCTATGCGCTCTACACTAGACCATAGGACACTCAGAAACATTCTTAGCTGCCTAGGCAGTATACAGTACAAGCAGCTGATTCTTTCTTTCTTATATCCGCCGCTTACACCCTTTTGGTTGTCGCGGGAAGAACGCTCTGTCGCCAGCCGGAGAGCTTGGGTCAGGGGGAAGCAGCTGATTAAAGCGCTCAAAGACTAACACACTGGCTAGATCTGTCTTCACTGTCTTTAGCTGGGTACTTATTTCCTTCCACCAGGTTGAATTGAGGAAAATAAGTGTAAAGTGCATTTCCCAAGGACACAAAGTCGGGCCCTTGATGGGATTTGAAACCTTGACCTTTACGGTTGGGAGTCTGTGAGCCTAACCACTAGGCCATCGACGCCACATCGGTCAGCCAACAAAGTGGGTCAGATGACTGGAAGAATTCTGGTCGCGGGCCGGATGGCTATTTCGTTCTATTATGCAGTCGAAATTGCTCTAATTGCCATCTGTTCAAGACACCTGCACAAAGGGCCATTTCCAACTGCCTCCAATGGGGTTGTTTTCTCTGTATTATAAAGTCATTGTCCAAGACGTCCAACTGTCTAAGACAAACAATTTTCTCCTGATAGTAAGTGTCTGTCTTGGACAATTTCGACTGTAAATCTCTCTCTCTCTCTCTCTCTCTCTCTCTCTCTCTCTCTCTCTCTCTCTCT